CAGGGTATGGTAGGAGGCTTATATATGGAATGGGTGGATTGATTTCAACCGTTGGATGAGGCGAGATGGACGGCTTGGATCTGAAGGTTTAAAAGAAACGTCGTCGTTTGGCTTAGTAGGGGTCAGATTTGGTTCGGGTAGCGGGTCGGGTAATGGGAGTTATGGGTGAGAGATCCGGACCGTTGGTTTGAACGGTCGTGATGGATTGGCATTGAAACGACGTAGTTTTGGTGTTAAACTACGTCGTTTTGTGGCCTGGGGGTGGGCTGTTCGGACTGGTGGCTTGGGCTGTTCATTTGGGCCTCAGATTTTGAAAATGGGAATTGGCCCAAATTCATTTAAAACAAGTTTCAACCTCTTTTTCTTTATTTCTAATTTTCTTAAACACACAACCTAATTAAATAAAACTAAACACCATTAATTAACACTTAACGTATTTATTACACGCAATATAAAAAATGTCAAAAGTAGGTAAAATTAAACAAGGCAACAAATCAGGACAAACAAAATGCGTACTTTGTGATTTTCCATTTAACAACCGGATTTCGGTTTAAATTACGCATGACACATACATTTTTTGTATTTTGTTTCAATAAAAATAAAAATGGACAAAAAATCATAAATAATTAACAAAGTGCCATGTAAAATCCAAAAATTGTACAGCATGACCATTTGTTATTATTTTTATTTCTTTTGGAGCGATTGTCGCGTAAAAACAAAAATCACGTGCTAAACAAAACAAATGTTAACTTGTTAAAAATTGCAAAGTTCTTAACTTGTGTTTTCTGATTTATGTTCGTCTACCTCAGAAAATTGCAAAGTAAATATCCTTTCAACTATGAGCGCTGCCAACAGATCAAAGGAATTGCATAACTGTTGCCTATAAAAAAGATAACCAAAGATTTGAAAATAAATAATCCCTCTGTTTCAATCTCTCTTTTGCTACCGCAAAGGACTCAGTTCCAGACATCGAATACTACAATTAATAGAAAGCGCAAACTTCAGCTAAAAACTGAAAAAACATTCCATGTGGAAATGACTTTGTATCGTCGCAAATGCTTTCCATTATGTCAAACATCGTTTTCTGATTTGGTATGATATTTTGGAAGAAAACCAGAAAGCAATGCAATCAAATGAAACATGTTAAGCTGAGGAATTTGGTAGAGCAAAAGAATTTTAATTACTCAGAGCAATGTAAGCATAACGTCACACTCAGCTATAAGATCTGTAATATAGATTGCATATTGTTACCAAAAATCCTGAAAAAGATTGCTAAATTGAGATCAGAGCAATCTATCTAGTGCTTATCCTTTTAGTTGTTAAATTACGTACTAAGATGAATTTCCAAAGACAATAAACATCCGGATGACATATATGTGCATATACCAAGTTCATTACATGAGCTATCAGCTTTTTTGAGAAAATTATCTCAATTCCTGCATATACCAGATTTTGTTTTACAATGTTCAATGCAAATATAAGGATTTTAGCACCTTTTCTTGTTGTCATCTAACATTAAATTCATCTCGGTCTCAAGATGATTCCTCGGCTTCATTGTGGCAATGGACACACTACACACTGCTCATCAAGACTTTTAACAAAGGAAAAGAATTAACAAAGAAGCCAATAAAAGTAACCAAAAATAAAGAGACGTCGCTGATCCATAGACATCAAAGCGATGTGAAGACCTCCGGTCAGTAGTAAATGGAGCTCAGGAAGCCCTTCTTCTAGCAATGATTGAATTTGAGGTAAATTAAGAGTATATAGAGATTCAAGAGGTAAATTAAGCATAGAGCTTGTTACTACCATCTAACAATCCAACTTCTAGACTGCCCTGCATTACTAATTTAGAGAAAAACAAATGGAGGCAAAGAACTATATATTCACGGTGAAATAATTAACCTGTGTAAAACAAATATAAGGTATACAGGACTTCACTTTTGGGTGGCATCCTTTTTGAAAAAAACATGTTCCAGCTAGTTTTACATGTGGTCTTAGAGTCCTCAAGCAATAATCAGTTGCACAAAATGATTTCCTCTTCTAAAAAAACTCTCTTTTGTGATTTAGAAGTACTTATTCCATGCTAAACTAACACCATTAATTACACTTAAATATATATACTCTCGCTAGCTTGTTACAGAAAATCACACAGTGAGAATAATTACAACGATACTGCTGACAGGAGAGAGTTGATAGAATCTATGTTGCTCGGACTCTCTGAAAATGTCGCCGGGTGCGTGTCGGATACTCAAAAAGTAGTGTATTTTTGGAGAATCCGACACGGGTGCGGCAACATTTTGGATAATCCGCGCAACATAGGATAGAATCTACAACTTAGAAATCGATAGAACCATTTATCTCTGTGGAACTAAGCTTAACAGCTCTCATGATGGCGATTTATTTTCCAGTCTGTAAGATTTGATGGAGAAAATAGGTTAATAAAAAAGAAGAGAGAGTCTTAAAAAGTAACAGGCAGGTGAGGTACAACAAAAATAACAAGAAAAGAGAGTCTTTGGTTATTCCTCTATCATCATTAGTCGCCTGTCTTTCTAATAAAGGATCACATGAATGTTGAAAACTGACTCGCGCCTTTTGCTATATAATTTAGACAAATTACATTTACATTTATGAAACAAGCAATCTAACTGAGATTATATTGGAAGTGGTGTTGCTGCCAACTACTGACAATGGAAGTTTACTTATTTCCTAGATGATTTGGATGGTTGTCCGCGATTTTTTGTATATATGTGTGTGTATATGAAATATAACATCTATATGGAGCCTTAGAACAGAACTAGCGTTTAATGACAAGCAGAACATAATTCATGTCCCTGGTAGCAAATTGAAAAAAGTGGAGTTTGATCATTCTGACAAAATTTTATCTTTCTAGTTTCCACTGGAAACGAAACATCAAGCAGTAGAGAGGCTTCTAGCAAAACGGTTCCAATTCAGTTCTGATAGTTATATCTCATTGTTAGGCATCGATACCAGTAGCAAACAGAGTTGTTGGAAGTGAAACGGTTCCTTCATTCGCGCTACCAAATGCAGAAACAGCTGTAGCCGATTTATCCCAATCAGTATTGTACTGATAATGCACTAGGCCTTTAGGAAACACAAATTTGTAGAGTCTTAAGTATAGAGCTTTTTACTACTATCTAACAATCCAACTTCTAGACTGCCCTGCATTACTAATAATAGCTCGGATGCATGAAGGTGAGTGTGGGGCGGGTTGACAATGAAGTAGAAGAAGTATATGAGATATTATTTTTGACAATTTGACTTCCCTGCTCATCCTTTAAACTACACTGCCAATGGCTGATAAATTGCATTAGCGTTAACTATCAAAAGGCAGAGGTAACAAGCAATTTGAAAATCATCAGTATTACCTATTGAATACAGGGTGGTTAGAAACTCAAAGATCAAAATGAACAAAGCAATACGTGATGAAAAAGAACTGAGTTTGGAGATCTTCATCCATATATTTTGCTTTCCAAGCTTGATGAAAAAAGTAGCTGATTGTGACATAGAGATTGCTAGTTTCCGACCATTCGTGATCTTCCTTGTGATTCCATGAATTGACTGGGGTTTAAGAACAACGAACAGAAGATTGAAAAACTGCAACAACGACAATGTATCAACGGCCAAATCGAGCTAGTAGAAAAGGAAGGGAGGAAATCCTCAAAATAAAATACCAAGTTACTCTGCATCATATTTTGAACAGCTAATATGCATCAACTGAAACAAAAGAACTAATAAGATCTGGCTCTTTCTTATAGGAAATAAATTTTGAAGAAAAAGCAATATTACCTCAGAAATTGGTAATGGAATCGATAGTAGGAGGCTCTTTCTAGATGTTGAAGTGAAGTGAGGCACCAAAGACCTATTCTTAGGTCAGAAAGAGACGAGGGAAGTCCTTCTTCCAGCAGCGATAAAACTTCATTCCCTGAATGCATCAAAACTTTAGTTAGAGCAAATCAAGGCTGAACTATATAATACACAGAGCTAGTGTCTCCTCAGCTATAACAAAATAACCTATTTTAATTTGGGAAAATATCAGTTTTAATTTGATAGTTGATAGAACTGGATGATTTAATCGACAACAGAAAATGACTAGTTCTTTTAACTGATGTATTGGAAGAAACTGCTGCACAAAATTTTGCACAATATTTTCTAAGGGTGATCAAAGAGAAGCAGTACTGTCAAATTCCACACAAAAGAGTAGTACGTTTCTTCACTTACACTTTGCTGACAGACCACATTCAGCGCAACTTTCCATTCACCAATGGAGCTAAGAGCGTTAATAGCTTGCATATTGTTACCCAAATCATGATAAAAATAATTACTAAGATGATATCTGATAATCATATTGGGAAGCAATTTTTTTTTTTTTTTTTATAGATAGGAGACAAACTTTGTGTCGCGTATACCTTTGAATTCTATAGTGGACATGCATTACTCTAAACCACGGCCTCCTCGCTCAACTCACTGAAAAGGGGAAAGAACAAGAATACATGAATTTCTATTGAGATGAAAGTTCAAGCAATACATGAACTAAAAAACGACAAGATGTAGAGCGAGATATATGACAATAATCTATGAATTGCAATTGATGAGATGAATCTCCAAAGACAATAAACATATGTCTGATATATATGTGTGTGGTAACAGATTAATATTACATTAAGCTATCAACGTTCTGGAGCAAATATGTGAATTCCTACCAATACCAAATTTTACAATGTTTCAGTGCAAATATAAGGATTTTATCATTTTTTTCTTTTTGTCATCTAACATTCAATTCATCCCAATCTGAAGATGCTTCCTCTGTTTCATAGTGGCAATAACCTCTTCACACTGCTCAACAAGATTTTCAACAAAGGAAAAGAATTAACAGAAAAGCGAAGAGAAAAAAAGAAAAAGAATAACTTACATCTGTTTAAGCACCTTCGTTTGAGTCATCACAGGTGTTCCCCATCGATATATATTTTGGGAATATGAGCAATATTTGGCCAGTAATCCCCTTTCTCAAATTCTAGGAGTGGTTCCAGCAATGGGCAGCTGCGAATATGTAGTTCAGAGATGGAAGAGGGCATCCCTTTTGCTGGAAGAGATTGGAGTTTAGGGCAATCGTAGATACTCAGCTTAGAGAGGGAGGAGGGCAACGCTGATTCTGGAAGAGGTTCGAGATTATTACCGCAACCACAGATAGGCAGCAGAGAGAGGAAGGAAGGCTTTCTTTTCACTTGAAGTGATTGGAGATTATAACTGTTGAATTTGGCAAAACTATTTGTCCCGCATCGGTGGGAAGAGAAGGGTTGGAGGATTAACCCCTATAAAAGAAGGCTTAATGTTTAGGATTTAAACACACCTCTCATTTGCCTTCTCATCT